GGTGTGCTGGGTGGCTCTGCCCCAAGGAGAGCTGCCGGCTCGGAAGCGGAAGGTCAGCTGGTGCCTTCTGGCAGCAGGACAGGTCTCTGCAGGGCAGCACGTGCCCTGGGGATGTGGGGGAGCTGATGGAGGGATGTGGGGCCCGGGACGGGGAGCCTGCCCCAGACACTGCAGCTAACCCATTGGCTTTACGGGAAGAGAGCTCTTACCATGGAGGACTGCTGCATCTGCTAGGACTGCCTGTGCTGTGGAGTCCCCATGTCACATCAGAGGAAACCCCAGGGCTGCGGGAGAACGGAGCGTGCCAGGAGCCAGAGGAGCTGAAGGGGTGTGAGAAAACCCCGGTTCCTCCCAACGCATCCTGGCCTGCCTGGCTCCTCCCTGCCTGTAATAGTGCTGAGCTTTCCTGCTGCCTGGAGAAGCCCGAGGGCTGGCAGGGCTGAGTCAGGCCTCCTGCACCCTCGTCATCCTCCCGGGGTGTCAGGGGAAACTGAGGCACAGGAATGTCCGGTCCACCATCACATGGCCAGGCAGCAGCCAGGGATCTGGGAGCCAGGGCACCACGGGGCTGCTCAGGCTGCTGGGGAGTCCTGCCCTGGCCTCCAGCTCCGGCAGCCTTCCCGACAGGAAACTCAGCCCAAAGCCGGGAGGCAAACCCTGTACCCTGGAGGCAGGGGAGCAGAGACCCTGCTTCTTCTCCAGCTGCTGTTCTCTGCCGGAGCCCTCCTGCCCATGGCCCGGTGGCAGCCGTCCCCCTCGGCGGCCGTGGAGCCCTAGAGCGGGTTCAGCTTACACAGCACTGGCTCCGTCCAAGCTGTTACGGCACAGCTGCTTCTCGCTTACTCAGGCGAGGTGCTGTGTCCCCTGTCCCCTGAGACACAATGTCCCAGCCTGGAGGTTACGTGGGAACTCCCAGCCCTCCGCAACGACAGAGGCAGAGGGTGGACCCTGTGAGCATCACCTTGCCTGCTCCAGCCCGCAAAAGGTTTGGGGCAGAGGGGCTCCGCGTCCGCCTGACAGTGCCAGAGCGCTGGGACAGCCTCCTGCCCGTTCCCTGAGGAGGACAAGGCAAAGGATCCCTCTGGGCATCTGCATCTCCCTGTAGGAAGGGTGGCCCCGAGCAGCCCTGGGGAAGATGTGCTGCAAAGCGGTTGCTCCCTGCAAGGGGCCAGAGTCACCAAGGGGTGTCCTCGGTCAGCAGACAGAGACC